TCGATGGGTTTGCCAGGTATAGAAGATCTCATGTAAAAGAAGTTGCACACAAGTATACCTTATGAACGCTAAATATAGCTTTCTCGAAATAAAACTGTAGTATCTATAGTTAAAAAAGTCTCGGTTCTGAAAAAAAGGAACCGTCTACAGAACCGCGGTTCCGGTTCCATTCTTAGAACCGGTAGCACGGTTTCGGTTCCCGATGAAGAACCGAAAGCAACAGAACCGCGGTTCCGGTTCTTAACGAGAACCGAGAACCCAACATCCCTACTAAGCAGGGATGCCCATTAAACAAGAAGTAAAGGAAGACCAATTAAGGGAAAGCCTTAAGGACATTTTTTCTATAAAGAGGGATAATACAGGATAACTTATTTGTCAGACAGTAACGGACAGAAATTAAAGGCACATTAATAGATTCTTTTTATTCTATTGCTCGTTGGTCTCCCAGCAGCATCGCATCACTGTGTCAAAACATAAATCTAATATAACTGTCTTTTTCATACAAAAACCACTAAATGATCAATTCAAACGTAATTTTTTACTACGGTGTTCTCCACTTCCATGAATAGTCTTATAAACTTCTTTGTTGTTCGGAATATTAGATAATAATCACAATCATGGAACTTAGTGCACGTTAAATTTGTGTTTAGTCTAATTTTCAATTCTGCGTTTGGCACTTTTTCTTATGTAAAATCTCACATAAGAAAAATTACTAAACGCTAAAGATCGGCTGAAGTGGAAGCGTAATACAAAAGTGAAATGTCTATTGAGAATGTTCAGGAGAAAAAATCCTTGAAGGACGGGATGGCTGGGGGAACAAATTTTTAAATGTGGGACTGTCCGTCCCCTTATGGCGGGACACCTAGCAATCTCGAAACTAAGTGGACTACATATAGTTAATGACGCTGATTCCAAATATGAACATCACAGTTGCCCTTAGGCTTTTGCTCACCGTTTTTCAGCAAACTCGATCTTCAGAAAACTAAGGACCAAATCCAGAAACGTTTTCTGAATTGGCCATTTTGTAGAAAGACACAAAACTGTCTATGTTCTATAAGTTCGACTTTTCAAAAAAAAAAATTAACAGTGTAGGAAATTTCCGAAAAGAGTGGCTACGCTGACTTTCATGGAAAAATGTTGCCGTAGGATACTTTGCAAAAATCATACCACCGTTCAATGGTATTTTGAAAAACTAAAACTTATGGAACATAGACAGTTTGTGTCCTAAAATAAGTGGCCAGTTTAGAGAAATTTTCTGAATTTGGTCTGTGGGCTTCTGAAGATCCAGTTTCTAGAAAAACGGTCAATGAAACACGGTCAACTCCGATGTTCATATTTGGGATCAGCGTCATCAATTACATGTAGTCCACGTAACGCGTGGTGCCAGAGTCATGCATTAAATATCGAACATTATTTCTGCATATTTTCCATGCGCTTATTTTTCATTGAGAAGAGCAAAGGCTGAAGTTCAAAAAAATATAGAAAACAATATTCTTGCGATTGACTTTGAGAAAGAAAAAAGTTTGATACCAAACGCCGCCGAAAAAGCTCTTGCAACGTACTTTTCTTCATTTTTTACTAGGTCCGGAACAAAAAAAGCTTTTTTGAAAATCGAATACGTGAGAATGTAGCCCGTGCATAAGTCTATCAACTTCTCTACTTTAGAAAGCTTCTCAGTAATTCTTTAGAAGTAAATAAAGCGCCTTATAAGTCTTACGCTATTCAGAGCTATAAACATGTTAGAAAAGGTTATAACTAATGTGAGTTTGTAGAGATTTGCGTGCTATTCCATAAAATGTGTTTCAGAAAAAGGAAAAAATTCGTTCAATATCTGAAAATTATTCATTAAGTATAATTACCTGTTTCTTTGAAACTAATGAAAAACGTGCAAAGTTCCTGTCGAAAAGTGAATTAAAACATAAATTACCATACCCCATTTGAGTGATAAAAACACTTCTTGTTTCTATAATTATATAATTTCAATCGTATTCTGTCACAGGAAAAAATATGTTTGATGCGCGAAATACGATTAAAGAGGACGGAAGTTGTAAGAGCTTTTTTAGCAACGGTTCTTATAAGACTTTTCTTCTTCCTCAAAGTCAATCTCAAAAATTTTGTTTTCTGTGTTTTTTGAAGTTCAGACATAGCTCTTTCCAATGAAAAAATATTTGACTCTTCAGCACATTGGGAACTTGCAGAAATAATGTTCAACATTTAATGCAAAACTTTTGCATCACGTGTTAGTTCCATCGAAAAAACGATTTACAACGCCTTCCCTCGTAAATCATATCCTTCTTGAATAATTACACCAGATATATCCTTTATTTTATCGACATTTTTTAATAACTAACCATCTTCCTTCATGAATGCACCATGTAGAAATAATGTGTTTTAATTCGTGCAAATTCAACAGCAAATTTTATGTCATCTGTTGCATGTTCTATAGATGATGGATGAACATATAAACGCGATGTTGTTAATTCCCATACTGTAGCAACTTTTAATATTTTTTGTTCATGTTTATTGGTTAAACGACGATGATATGCTGACATGAAATCACCATGTTCAGCATTGGGTATCAGTTCTAAATATTTTCCTCATGGATCAAGAAATATTACTGGGACCCCTCGTCGATAAAACCATAAT